TCTCTTTTAAGTGAAGGAGTGATACGTGAATACATTGTGAAATATCAGTGTTATTAGAACTGGTACCATCCGTCGGTTCGATATGTGAAATCAAGAATCGGACTCAAAGTTGGGTCGATTAGCAGAAAAACCTACATTTTGAAAAATCGTCCAAAAATTTGTCGGTTTTTTTATGAAAAATTGTTGATCTATTTTCGCTTTATTGGTTTAAATTTATAAAAATCACCAAAAATAAGATCCAATAACTCGTCTTTTCATTTTTTGTAAATTTATTTATTTATATTTAATTTTTTAAAAACACTGGGTGGATCACCAATTCGGCCCTTTTCATTTTTTGGGTAGATGCGTAGTCTCTGACCCTTTCTTTTTAAATGCATTTTTTAGTAGTGTTTCGACCCTATTTTAATTCCACATTCTTTAATAAAATAATATTACATACAAATTTAAAATTTTTTCTTATTTTTTAATCATACATTTCCTATCAATACACTATTCAGAAATGAGGCTTAAACAAGCTTGTAACATGATTGTTTGAGCTCTATTTTTTAAAAATTTTTTTTTTTCAAAACTCATTTACAAATCAAATTTTTTTCTTAATTTTTAACCATACATTCTTAAAAAATCACTATTTAAAAATGCACTTTTCTCTTAAAATGTGACTCAAATAAGGACTTATAAATTTTTTAAAAGGTTTATGGCATGCTTTTATCTTTTTTATTTTTTTGAAGTGACAATACGTAGCCCTGCTTGTGTTCCATTAGAATTTTAATATATTTATCTTTTTTTAACTATACATTTTTCAATAAAATAATATTATACATAAATTCAAAATTTTTTATTTTTTTAATCCTACATTCTTAAAAAAATTAGGGTCTGTTCTCTTTACTATTTTCAGGTTATTTTCAGTTTTCAGTTTTCGAGAACATTGAAAACATGTTTACTTACCTATTTTCAGAAACGAATTTTCAAAAAACGAGTTTAAAATTTACAAAGAAAACGGAAAACGTCAAAAAGTCATTTTGGCTGTTTCAATTAAAACCAAGCCAAAACTTCATTTTTTTTAATTTTTGGAAACAATTTTTCAAAATACATTTTCCTCAAAATTTGATTTTAATAGAGCCCAAACAATGACGTAGTTTGTTGATATTGTAATAATTAACATTGGCTAATAATATAAATTGAAAAAACAATCATGTTATAAGTACATAAAATATTTACATATAACACTTGACATGCATTCATCGCATTATGGAAAAAATAAAAACAGAACAGGTGAATGACGTCATGTCACCGTCAATAAAAAAATATGCCAAAAATTTTCTGAGCATTTTCCTTAAAAAAAATTCCACAATCAGTAACAATGACTTGCGTGGAGGGACCAAACTTGCTCTTCCCCAAGTCTCCATAAGGAGGTGTGGAATTAGCAAAACAAAAATAAAATCAATGGTCCCACTCCTTTAAGACACAAAACACTATTCAGTATTCACACTCTCTCTCACTGGCGTTAGGGTTTAAGAAGAGAAAAAGCACCAAATCATCACTCGATCAATCAAATATGTAATAATACACACTGGAAATCTCTCATCTATATGATAGTATTGACACTCAAAAAACAAGGTCTTCGATTAAGCTGTGAAAATTAACAATTGCATTGCCGAATATACAGGTGTGTAGAATTATATCGGGCTTTCTTAGGGAACCTGGTTACTGTCTTTCTATATGCATCTTCTTTTTCGTGTTTGCGTGATTTTGTATTTTGTAATGTATGGATTTGACAATTTTGCCTTTTTAGTTGTTTCTCACGGATTTGGAAATGAATGTTATCCATGCTCGAGATGATTTTTTCTTGCTTTTATTCTTTTCAATTATATGCATATTGGAATATCGACTTCTTTTCATGAGTTGAAGTTTTTATTTCATTTTTGAATGAACTGCTATTCGTGATTGATAAAATTGTTTTTATTTTTTTAGTTAATTATGGTTTGCCGATTCGGTTAAAGAAGTTATTTATACTATATAGTGAGTTCTACACTTTTTAGAATCCTTCATATTGGCAACATGTTAAAATTTCGATTCTTCATGGCCTGCTCGGCGCCTTTGAACCAAGCTATAGAAGCAGAACCGTATCCGAGTTGATCTTTTCTTTAATTTCTATTTTAAATTTCAAATATCTGCCCCTGAATAAAGAATCGACTTGTCTGTGTTGTAATGTATTTATTCTGTAAGTCTCTCATATTCAATTCCAAAGCCGTAATGCCAGCTTGGCCCCCCCCCCCCCCCCCCCCCCCCCCCCCNCCCCCTCCCCCTTAAGAACAAATTTATTCTGTTGGCTTTCTTCTGTATCGGATTTATTAATTAATTGTTATATGCTTTTGTTCTTACTTTGGCAGTGAAACTGTTTCCTTCTGCTGGTACACTCTAAGCTGAACGATTCGTCTAAGAGTTCTGCATAGATGGCGAACTTAACCTTAACGGGAATACTTGAGAAGGTAGCTATGGGTGCTGCATATTCTGAGTTATTTTTTCCTTTTTACAGATTCGTGGTGCTCCAGTTAAATTTGTGTACGCAATGCAGATGACGGGGAAGGACAAGGATTACAGATACATGGCAACTTCTGATTTGCTTAATGAATTAAACAAAGAGGGATTCATACTTGACGTTGACCTCGAAGTAAAATTGTCTAATATTGTTATCCAGCAACTTGATGATGCTGCAGGCGATGTTTCTGGATTAGCTGTGAAATGGTCTGTATTGGATTTCCTTATTTTACAAAGATAAATGCTATTGATGTTCTCAGCTATCTCTTATTTTATTTAGATACAATATTGATTTTTCTTCATTTATTTTCCTTGAATTTTGTGACTGAATGATCAAGTTCCTTATTCTGAGATCTAGATAATAGTCATTTATTTCCTATGTAATTTGTTTCTTCCTGCTTGTAACCCATACCTTCCTCTAGGACGAGTTGTTGGGTTATTTTCTATCCCCTTGTGCAAACTTGTATTTTATTCATTCTAACATTTTGTGTTCACCAATTGTCTTTCGTGGTTTTATAATTATGTTGCCCATATTCATATTTCATCTTGTTTGATGTTTAAGATTGTAGTTTGGGCATTGAGTCCTAGTACTGGGAATCTTCAGATTTAGAACCTGCAAAGTTCAATTTTGATTGATATGGGAATATACTTTTTTGGTAGCATGGAACGAAGCTTCCATTTCTTTTAATTTATTTTGGACTTTAATGTGTATATGTAAATTTCTTTTCCATGCTGATTAGTTGGGTCACTCGCCCCTGAAATTCAAATGCTGCTGAGTCTTTCTATAGAACTCATTTGAAGAAAATAAGGGGATGTGAGCTAATTTGTGATTGGAAAAAGGTTATAAATCACGTTCAAGGAGTCTATTTATTCTTGGTGAAAAATTTAGAAAATATCATCTTCAGGTTATTTTGACAATGGTTGCTCTATTGCTTCGATTTGGTATTATATTGTTACACCTTGCTAAAGTTTCACTTCAAAAGATATTATATCAGCATCTTCATTCTTCTTATTTTTTTTTTATTTTGCTTTGATGTGATATTTAGTCTTGCTCCATTGGTGAAGAAAATCCGTGATCAGCAGATTCTTGAGATGACTAATAAGCTTTGTGACAAACTGCTGAATGGAAAAGAACAACATCGTGACATTTCAAGCATTGCTTTGAAGACAATTGTTTCTGAAGTTCCTACCTCATCCATAGCACAATCTGTACTTGTATCCATATCTCCAAAGTTGATAAGAGGAATAACTTCCCAGGTGAGTTATTATATACCATTCAGCACCATTGGTATCACATGCAAGGCTAATATAATTCTCTGTCGATGGTTCTTTTGCAACTGAATTCTTGTTTGACATTAGCCAATGGTAGATGGTTTGAGATTCAAGAGGAGTGATGTTATCTCCACGTTTCTTTGAAAGGGATAAGAATGAGCCCCATAATAACTTTTACTGTACTAGATAGATGATGCTGATTTTTTGATTTCCAAAGATCGTTGATTAGTTGTCAAATCTTTCCATTCTCCAAATTGAATTTGCACTCAATGCAATTGGGCAAATTTATCCATTATTGGGTCACTTTAAGTTCATTTCTTTGGTGATCTGAAAGATAATTAGTTTCAGTTAGTCTACAACTGCATTATGAGCTGTTGGTTTTTAAAAATCTTTAAAGATGTCACCTGCTCATCATACGGTAAATCACCTTTAAGCACAAGAGCAATTGATCTCTTTCACTGGCTAGGGATGCATGGGTAAATGACATTGTGTTAACTAACCATAAATGAAGTGAAATAATGATTTTTTTAACTCCCATGATTTCAGAGCTACACGATGCCAACACAATATGACTTCATTCGCTATGTGACATGATTTTCATGATTGCTCCTATTATGTTAGCAACTGTGTTAGCAACTGGCCTCTTCATTAGAGACTCTTTCTTTCCTAATTGGCTTTAAAGGCGATCGAAGACTATATGCAATGAGCTTGCGATGTATTTTTGAAATTCTTGGAATCTTCTTTGTTGGAGTTCTCTTGTTGCTTTTATGGTCTCTATTTATTGGATGTGAAATAAGCATTTATCGAGGCTTTCTTCATTGTCACATGAAAGAATACCTTCTCTATTGTGATGCTTTAGGATGTTCAGAAAAAAACTGATGTATTAGAGATTTCAAAGATTGTCTCTCCCTTGTTCCGACAAATATATATCAAGAATGTCACTGTGTTCAGTGTTTATACTTCATAAGATGAGCATCACGTGGCAATAAATAATTACTACTACAACAAACTAAGTCTTTTTCCTAATAAATTTTTTTAGTTGGAAGCTAGATAACTAATTGCAGAACTAATTTTTTATGCCCTTTGAAGCTTTATTCCTTATTTCAACTTGTCTTTCCTTTTTTTAGGGAATGCCCACTGAAATCAAGTGCGAATGCCTCGATATATTGTGTGATGTTCTTCATAAATATGGAAATTTAATGGCATCAGATCATGAAGTATTATTAGGTGCATTGCTACCTCAGTTGAGTTCCAATCATGCCAGTGTCAGGAAGAAGGCCGTTTCATGTGTAGGTAATATCAACTGAATGTGAAAATCTTTTGAAAAAATGTGTTAAGTCTTTCTATATCGTGTATAACTTGACCTGGTAGTCCTGATATTTCCGATAAACCTAACTGATATTTCCTATAAATCTAATTAAGTTTACCACTCTGCCTTCAGCGTCTCTTGCTTCAAGCTTGTCAGATGATTTGCTGGCAAAAGCTACAGTTGAAGTTGTTCGGCTTTTGAAAAATAAAGCCATAAAACCAGAAATTACACGCACAAACATTCAGATGATTGGGGCTTTAAGGTAATTAATCTCAGTTCGATTTCTCTAATGATGTTTGTATGTGTCCGTGAATAACCCATGAATATTTGGTTTGTAAGTCGTGCTGTTGGCTATCGCTTTGGTCCCCATCTTGGAGATACTGTTCCAATATTACTTAGCTATTGTACAAATGCATCGGAGAATGATGAAGAGCTTCGTGAGTATAGCTTGCAGGTATGTAATTTTTTTACACGTTCTTTTAAGGTTACCTTTTGTTGAAGTTATGCTATAATGAGGTATTTTCATTGTAGGCTCTTGAGAGCTTTCTGCTGCGGTGTCCCAGGGATATTTCTTCCTATTGTAACAACATCTTACATCTTACTTTGGAATATCTTAGCTATGATCCTAATTTTACTGATAACATGGAGGAAGACACAAATGATGAGAGTTATGTGGTGGATGAGGATGAGTATGTCATGCACTCATTTGGAATTCTAAGTATGTTATTTATGATAAGAATATGTGATATGTGTTATCTTCATGGATTTATAGCGAGAGCGCTAATGAATATACGGATGACGAAGATGTGAGCTGGAAGGTCCGTAGAGGTGCTGCCAAATGCTTATCAGCCTTGATTGTTTCTCGCCCAGAGTTTCTATCGAGGCTATACGAGGAGGTATCCATTGTATAAGAGTTTTTAAACATGGCTGTAGTGAATCTGGACCATTCACCTTGGATATTATGGAAATTTATTACAGTATCAGTTACATGTCCAACTTCCTAGGATCATTAAGTTCTAAAAGTCGTCACTGGATATTGAGTTCTAATTCTCTTTCTCATAATACTGGACTCTTATTTACTTTCTAGCGCAAAAGATCCTAGTATAAAGAATAATGTTATATAGCACCAATCTAGGTGGCCACACTTCATAGGTGCAATTAAATGAACGTTTTGACTTTACATTTAAATGAATTTATCATTTAATGATATCTAATTGCCACCTACATTGGCGCTAAGCATCAGTGGTGCTGAATAACATTACTCTAGTTTAAATCATAACCAACAATAACATTCTCTTTAAGTTCAAATTGTTCATTATATTTGGCCTATATACTAATTTAGCAATGCCCATATACTGTAGTTATCAGACAATTGAAAATCAGTAATAAATTGTCATGTTAACCCCTCAAAAGGAAGCTTCCATTTCTAATACGTAAAGTACGGTATCACTAAATGTTCTATGTATTTTATTGAATAAAATTGCTCATACCTTCCTTTAAGCATCAACTTTATAAGCAATTTGAACACTTTTGATTCCCTTTCTGAGACAATGTTTTAAAATGTGAAACCTATTTGTTTGGTGGTAAATTTTTTAACTGTTGTAAAACGAATTTGTTTATGAAGTTGTCTAATTGGAAAGTTTATGTGACTATATGATCCTTGCTAATGGAACAGAAATTAAGAATACTAGAGTTTCAGTTTCTAATGTTGTTATTGAACTACTGATATAAGAAATTGGAATATGGGAGTATAGGTTTCTTTTGTATGCTATCTACTAAAATATAATGATAGATGAACAAGACTGTGAAATATGTTCATTTTCAGGCTTGTCCGAAGTTGATTGATAGGTTTAAAGAAAGGGAAGAAAATGTCAAGGTATGACCGAGTGACACGACTGCACACTTTATGGTACAACCCCTTGGTTGATTATCTAATTTTATATAACCTGCAGATGGATGTGTTTAATACCTTCATTGAGTTACTGCGACAAACCGGAAATGTGACTAAAGGACAGACAGATTTTGACGAATCGAGGTAAGAATATGGCTCTTTCAGTTTGACTTGTTATATTCTTGTGCAGAGATGTTGTATTCTGTGTAACTTTTTTGTTGCTAACGATTATTGATATAGTGTTATTTATGTTACATCTTACATAATGCAGGGCTTAACCGGAACCTATAACAATTAATAAATAAAAGATCTACTCAATGGGTTTATTATAGATAATCACTGAAGGAAATTTGGATTATTTTTCTTCTGTCATGTTGCCATCAGCATGAGCATTTAGAGAAGCTCCCATCTAGGGACATAATAAATAAACAAATCATTGAGGTTAGTTGGAAAGCTGATTGAGATCGGCTTGCGGGTTTAATATGACTTCAACGAACCATTCTTTTTCATTCTAGAGAAGAAGGAATATAGTTTCCTCTGCACCTGGATTCACAAAAGAGATTCGTAATAAAGATGTATGCTTTAGATCTACACATTGTGGCGTGGTTGCATTCTCTCGATCTACAAGTCAAGAGTTCACTAACTTAAGAGAAAGGCGATGATGATAAGAAGTAATAATAGTGAGCTTAGCCAAATTTTCTTTATTGGCCCTGGCGAAGTCTAATATATTGTCACTTGCTCAATTTATTGTGTAAATTTTGGCACCAAAGGCTTGACAGTTGAACTTTTAGTTGTTTCCAAACATGGAAGATAGAGATCAAGAAAGCAAATTTCGATTATTTGTGGAAACATGAACACTTACTTTCTGTATTTGTAAGTTCTCTGTGACAAAGGGATTTTCTTACCTTCATATTTTTGCTAATTCTGCTGATGAAATTCATATTGTACATGATTCAAATAGTATTCCCTTTTGTTGAGATGAGAGAAAATAGATTTCCCTCACTAGAATGTTGATATCCGCATTGACTTTTTACTTGGCATGCAGTCCCAGATACATGTTGAAGCAAGACGTCTCAAATATTGTTCGATCTGTAAATAAACAACTGCGTGAGAAATCTGTCAAAACGAAGGTGAAATTGTACCTCGTGTGATCTTTTGGTGGCCAACTTAGAGTTTCTACATCTGAACACATTGTTTATGCCTACAGGTTGGTGCCTTCTCAGTCTTGAAAGAACTGGTAATTGTGCTGCCCGATTGCCTTTCAGACCACATTGGATCTATTACTCCTGGAATTGAGAAAGCATTGTGTGTAAGTTTTTGCCCCCTTTGACCGGGTGCTCATTTGGTTCAGTTTCAATTTGTCGCCAAAGATCTTGTTAGTTCTTTCTTCTGTTAACAGGACAAATCCTCTACCTCGAATTTGAAGTTTGAAGCTCTTGTTTTCACAAGATTAGTGTTGGCCTCACATGCCCCTTCTGTTTTCCTTCCGTACATTAAGGTACTGTGTAACTTAATTGGTCTCCTTTCCATAGAAACTATTAAGAATGTGACGACTTTCTTGAAATCAGTGGAATACGAGGGTTTTCTGAAAACCTTTATCATGCTAATTGCGAAAGTCACTGTTGCCACTTTTACAAAATTTGAAAATTTGGCAAGTCGTTAGTAGAATGATGCAATATGAGTGCTTGTAAAATTAATACCTTTTCATGTTATTGTAATTGCATACGTCCGTTATTTGATAATGAACATACCATATTGATTATGTTGCTACACCCGCTTGAGAAAAAGTAATTGTGCCTTTATCTGATAAGATTAGTTGTAGAATGGTTGATTTTCCTTGAATCTGTTTATGGAGTGTCAAAATATGAAGATCTAAAATAGTATCATGGTTTAAAAAGGCGGTAGTGAGGCCCGCCTCACCGTGAGGCACATGTAGTATGCCTCGAGGTGGTATTTTTGAGGCTAAAAATATGAGGCTTACGGAGACAAGCGACTTTAAAATTTGATTTTTCAATTGTATAAAAAGAAATCAGAAAGGGCCCTTCTTAAAAAAGAAAAGGACTCATTTAAAAAGGCCCATAAAATGAGGTCACATTGCAATTGGTGGATGAAGAATATGATTTTGTAGAAATTGAGAGTGGCGAAGAGGAAGATGATGGGGAAATTAGATTTGATGATGATTACATTAACGATGCTAGTAATAGTGATGATAGTGCAGACTATTAAGTTTTTTTTTAGTTTAAGCTGCATCTTTTTCTCCATTGCAAATGGAGTGATTTCTCACTTTTGTAATGCTTTTTTTTTTTGCTAAACATCTTCTTTCTTTAGGTGGACTATATTTCAACATACTAATGACTATATATTCTATTTACTATATGCTTCAACTTTGGTTTTTTTGTATTATTTTATAATTCTTTTACTTGGATTTTTTTTTGCGCGAGGCTTACGCCTCGCCTCATAAAGAAAAACTGCATCAGTACTTAGTTTCGCATTTTTAAACTTTGAATAGTATTAGTTCTGATCGTAATTGTATACCTAAAAAAATGCTTTGGAAGAAGGAAGAAGAAGCTATGCAGCACCTTAGGAGTAGATTTTGCAGCATCTAGGTCATTCTTTTCAAATCTGCTAATCATTATTTTTGTTGAATTTCGAAGCAAATTCATAAATGGCTATCTTGAAGTGTGTCCCTGAGGGTTGGTGCAAATCTGGATGGAGTTGTACTCTCACGATTAATATCAGGTCTATAGTTTGAGATGTAAGGTTGGCTCTATCATCGTAGCAAGTATTCCATACTCCACCAATCTCAACCAGTATCCTCCTCACGCACCACTACCAGTCATTGCCCTCATCATTTCTATACACTGCAATGACTAGGACCGATCTCCTAAGCACTGCTGCTTAGCTTATACTAAGCACTCGGGCGACATGGCACACTACAATATGTAGTAGGAGATAATGGTTGGTTACAAAATTTGATTATACCACATATTGTAGTGTGTCATGTCATAAGCTAAGCACCGGTCTTAGGAGACCAAATCCGCTGCAATGACAACTATGAGATCTACTATTATTCCATCACAATCTCCTCACATGCCATCACCGCTATTAGCACAATCAATATATCAAAACCTTAAAATCAACTATATCTAAAGATTTTTTAGGGTTCGTTTGGCATCGTCGTTGTGAGTAGAGCCTTTACCGGTAGCTCTTTTTATCAAAAGTTGACAATGGTTTTGTTGCCAACAAAAAGCGTTGCGAACATTAAATTGATTGTTTGATAGCATAACTATAAATATGCTTTTGATTTATTTAATGTTTGTTTGGGAGACATTATTTGACATGAAAAATGATTTTTTTGGAGAATTGGTAAAAAGTAGGGAAAAGTTATGGGTCCATGTGCAAAATTATTTTATAGGGAGAATATGTGGTTCGAATGAGTTTGAGGAAAAATGATTTTCAAATAAACCTTACAAAACAAAAGCTAATTGTACATATTGCATAATTATTGGACGAAATCTTATTTCTTTATTATAAAAAAATCTATGAAATTAAATATTTCAATTAAATTGTCATGGCACAAATTTTCAAGGATAAATCGTATTATAAGCTTTTCTAAACAAACGCTAATTGCACATATTGCATAATATTTTGGCGAAATATTATTTCTTTATTATATAAAATCTATGAAATTAAATATTTCAATTAAATTGTCATGGCACAAATTTTCAAGGATAAATCATATTATAAGCTTTTCTAAACAAACTGTAATTGCACATATTGCATTATGTTTTGACGAAATATTATTTCTTTATTATATAAAATCTATGAAATTATATATTTCAATTAAATTGTCATGGCACAATTTTTCAAGATAAATTGTATTATCTAAAATTTATTTGTTTAGAGTTTCAAAATTTAATACGTGAATATATGAAATATTGTAAAAATTATGAAATACCATAATTTCTTTTATCATCTTAAATTTCATTTCTAAAATATGTTATCGTTCATTAACAAATGAAAAATAATAAAATAAAAATTAAGAACAAAACATTTCATATTAACTATTCAAAAAGAATATTACGTGTAAAAATGATGTTATGAATAGTGATTTTTTTTTTTGAGATTGTGTTGTTAAAATTGGGGAAAAGTTTTGAATTTATGTATAAAATATTTTATTATGTGAATGTGTGGTTGAAAATGAGTATGAGAAATACATTTTTTTAGAGGGAGTCCAACACGGGCTTAAATTATATACAAAGAAAGTAAAATTAGATATATTTGGTATTTTACTATAAATTATAAGCATAATTAATCCAGATTTAAACATCACTAAAACAACTTATTTTAACTTTTTTTTTTGTCAATAAGCACTTCTTTGACCGCAACCAAACAATTGGGTTTTTATACAGAAGTGCTTTTGAGCTCCCAAAAAGGCTTCCCAAATGCACACTTACAATGTTGATTTCTCTTCTATCCTGCATCATCCCGGGAACCAAGGGACAACTCATTTGGTACAATTCAAGATCATGATATAGAGTTCTCATGGTGTGCTTAGAGTGATGATTACTGATATTCGTCGGACTTGTTAATCTGAGGGATTGCGAGAGGGTTTGTTGATATGGAGTTCTCACGGTGTGCTTAGAGTGATGATTATTGATATTCGTCGGACTTGTTAATCCGAGGGATTGGGAGTGTGTTTGTTCTCTAACAATGATTTATTTATTCATTTCTTAGGCCATTTCTGCTCCCATTATATCTGCCGTTGGTGAACGCTATTACAAAGTTACAGCAGAGGCGTTGAGAGTGTGTGGAGAACTTGTACGTGTTGTGCGACCAAATATTGAGGTCAGTTGCCTTTTAATCTCTTCATTATATATGGATTCTTCGACATTTACTGGTTCCTTCCTAAACCGTTAATGGGTCTTTGTTGGTCAGGGTTGTGGTTTTGATTTCAAACCGTATGTCCAACCCATATTTAATGCCATAATGGCCCGCTTGACAAATCAAGATCAAGATCAGGTTAGTGCCCTATCCATGCAGTGCAATTCATTTTCTGGCATCATGTTTGGCTAACTATTTCCCTTTTGCAGGAGGTTAAAGAATGCGCCATTTCTTGCATGGGGCTTGTTGTTTCAACATTTGGTGATCAACTTGGTGGGGATTTACCTGCTTGCCTTCCCGTGTTAGTAGATCGAATGGGAAATGAGATAACTCGACTTACAGCCGTGAAGGTATGTTTGAATTCTAATCCTCTGAAAGAGGTAAGCGGGAAAATATAAAAAATTCTCTCTAACTTTTCTCTCTCCAGCATCGCGACTTCTATATGTCGCTATGGACGAGTTCCTTACAATCAATGTTTTAGAAGGCGAAGGCATGAGTCAAAACATTAGGTCGAGGTGTAAGCCCAAAGTGCATGGCTTATAAGCTCTGATTTTCTTATATTAGTACTTTTAAAGATAGTAAAATTTAAAAGTTGACTAGTGCAGATGGAATTTGATTGATACAAGTTAAAAGTTCGGTTAATTTCAATTGCATCTGAATGTTGAGAACATGACAGTAAATCAAGATGGAGTGAAAAGAATATTCATGTAGCTCACTCTAGGTAGTAGGAAACGACTTTGTTGAGTAGAATTGCTGTCCTTGAGTTTTATGTGATAAAAGAAATTGATTTGACCTTTTCCCTTTCCATTTTCCTTCAATATATGCAAGTCTATTAAGGTATCCTTTGGCAAAATAGTTGGGCACCAACCATTTGGCTCAAAATGTTTAAGATCCACGTTGACAAGTAGCATCTAGCATAACTTTTAAGTACCTCATGCACATCGGAGGTCCTCACTGAAATCCTATGTTATGTCCAATTCACGACGCTTCACGAATCTAGACTCTACCAACTTGATGGCACCACAAAGTTCTCTTATAGGTCCTTTAAGGAACTTGTCAAAGCTATGGAAACACAGCAGGAAACTAGCAAAAATGTATAAGCTCCATGTTAACAAGTAGTATTCATCCAAGGCTTTAGAACCATCTGTGTGACTCAGGCATATTTGAGATGGGATGAGGCAGTGCTACATTTTTATTGCAATATAGTTTCGGAGATACACTTTCTATTTGATGGATATGTTAGTTTTGTTTTGGGATATCAATTAGGTTGGTTTACATGTTTAATTGTTCCCTTCGAATTTTTCTTCCCCAGGCTTTTGCTGTCATTGCTGGTTCTCCGTTGCACCTGGATCTATCATGTGTTTTAGAGAATGTAATTTCTGAGTTAACTGCATTCCTAAGGAAGGTACTTCCAATATATTCTCTAGAAATATCTCCTGGACAACTATCTGAATTAGAGGAAAAGCTACTGAGTATCTCTCATCCTTTTGGAAAATAGGCTAATCGAGCATTAAGACAGGCAACGCTGGGAACTCTAAATACTTTAATTGTTGCTTATGGTGATAAAATTGGTTCTTCTGCATATGAAGTGATCGTTGTGGAACTTTCAACTCTGATAAGGTTATACTTGTATATGTTTACTACAGATGTCTGTTCAATTAGTGTTTTTAGTTGCCATTCATGTTCATCAATTTGCTTGATAATTAATTTTTAAGTGACTAGTAATTAAATGAGTATAAATTCTTCTGCTTTTCAGCGACTCAGACTTGCATATGACTGCTCTGGCCTTGGAACTGTGCTGTACATTGATGGCCGACAGTAAATCGGGTCCAAATGTTGGTTTGACCGTCAGAAACAAAGTTCTTCCACAGGCATTGACTCTAGTGAGAAGCTCATTGCTGCAGGGGCAAGCACTTTTGGTATTATTTTTCTGTTGCATTGACTTAATCGTGGTGTAATAAGTCAAAAAAATAAAATAAAAAAATAACCCTCCTTTATGGACACTTCAGGCACTAAAGAACTTCTTCCGTGCCTTGGTTTACTCAGCAAATACTAGCTTTGATGTGCTGCTAGACTCCCTTCTTTCAACTGCAAAATCATCTTCCCAGTCTGGCGGTGTTGCAAAACAGGCTTTATTTTCCATTGCTCAATGTGTGGCAGTTCTCTGCCTTGCTGCAGGTGATAAAAAATGTATGTCTACTGTAAATATGCTCACAGATATCCTGAAATCTGACAGCACTACCAATTCGGTACGTAAATATGCTCCTTTCAATGCCTGCCTAAGTTTGCTTGGATTACATAGATGGATATTTTTTAGATGAAATTTTTAACATCTGCTTAAATGTCCTGTTAATTGGTTTAATCAAAAATAGTTGTTGACTCCGAACCTCTCCTTAGTTAGTGCACCGCATTGGAAGATATAATTATGCAGTAAGGTCAAGGACTCGGGATTCAGACTTTTCAACAAAGTTTGCCCTTGTTAATGGTTACCTTGATTTTCGATATCTAGCAGAAATCTTTTTACTTGTTTGCACCAATTGTGGGAAATTGGAAGATCTTGAGTTTACCCTGAAATGGACATTATCCTAGGAGTTTCTATTTGCTGATTGAAATACTGTAAGAGACGGTTAGGAGTATGACCTGATAATCAGATACTTGTAGCCTGTCTGCTTATTTTAGTATCAGAACAGATAATTGGCTTCTTGATTCTGGCAACTATCTGGATTTTTGGAAAATATTGCACTTCCAACTTAATTTGGTGTTAGAATATGTTTCATATACTCCCAACTTAATTTGATTGTTTTGAATTCCTCTTTGAATAATTTTGGCTGTCTATTATTTACATTAAGTAGCAATCTTATTGTTTTAAATTGTTTCAGGATAAAACATGAGCTGATTTCTGGCTTTCTATTGTTCTTTATTTGTAATTTGAGAGAAGTGCTTTCTAAATTTCTGAATGATCTTTTTTTATCAAGGGAATTTAATTGTGCCTCGTGTTGGACTTTTATCCTCCCATCTGTATTACTGCTACTATTCTCTTTTTATTCAACACTGCTGTCTTATAGGCCAAGCAACACCTTGCCTTGCTGTGTTTGGGGGAGATCGGGAGGAGAAAAGATTTAAGTACACACACCCATATAGAGAATATCGTTATCGAATCTTTCCAATCACCTTTTGAGGAGATAAAATCTGCTGCCTCTTATGCTCTAGGAAATATTGCTGTTGGAAATCTACCAAAATATTTACCCTTCATATTGGACAAAATTGATAATCAGCAGAAGAAGCAATATCTATTGCTCCATTCCCTGAAGGAGGTGTGGCCCCTGAACATAATTCTTTCTAGAGGAAATTCGTTTTTAACCAGCATATATTGATACTTTACATTCTTGCTGAAATTTCTCCAACTTACAGGTCATAGTGAGACAATCTGTGGATAAAACTGAATTTGATGATTCCAGTGTTGAGAAGATCACCAATTTGCTCTTTAACCACTGTGAAAGTGAGGAAGAGGGAGTTCGCAATGTGGTTGCTGAGTGTCTAGGAAAAATAGCCCTTATTGAACCAGGAAAACTTGTTCCAGCACTGAAGGTACCATCTAAGAAATATATGTTCTTTTATCCATGCAATGTGCAATGCGTTATCAAATCTCTGCAAGACTTAACAATTTACTTGCATATAATTGTAGGAGAGAACAAGCAGTGCAGCTGCATTCACCCGAGCAACGGTTGTAATTGCGATCAAATATTCTATAGTTGAGCGGCAGGAGAAGATAGATGAGATTTTGTACCCAGAAATCTCATCTTTCTTGATGCTTATCAAGGATCATGATCGGGTAATTTCCTAACAGTTATTAAAATGCTTCTACAGGTATATATGCTATATTGATACACTATATCTTCCATCATTTTTCCATTTACCATTATGTTCTGCATCTCTCTCTTTTGGATTTTCTGGTATTTTTCCAGGACCAAATTTGATTTATGTCATGTTATATTTGTTCCTGAGCAGCACGTAAGGCGTGCAGCTGTATTGGCCTTGAGTACCGCAGCCCATAATAAGCCAAACCTAATAAAGGGCCTGCTTCCAGATCTCTTGCCACTTCTATATGACCAGACGGTAATTAAGGTAACTAATCTTTTATAAATAACATTTTTCTCATTTCGCTGTCTCCTGCACAGACGCAAAAGTTAAATTTGCACTGTACTCTTAACTTACTATTATGTGGTTTACCAGTCCTTGCAGTTAATACCGCAGTAAGAAATAACTCATTTTCTATCAGCAAAAACTGCTGATCTTTCCGTTAGAATGAGAGGTTACTATTTGGGTGCAAAAGTAAGAAATTGCAAGACAATGGAATTATTCTGCGATATTGTGTTGCCTTTGGAATTAGAAGCTAATGTAGCGGGTCATTTGCATGATAACTCTTGAGCATTAGGAATAGTCTAAATTTATTGGGTGTTAACTAAATTTGTACAACATTGTTTATCTCTATAAAAAAAATATTTTTAATGTCCAAGACAGAGTACATCTCAAATAAAAACCTCCGTAAATTTTTTTATTTTGGGTGGATTGAATTCGAGTGAAATGGCTATCCTCCTTAAGAGTGGTCCCACAACCAAGATTTTCTCTTTCAGAAAGTAACACTGGATCGCTTTTTAACTAGGGAGATTGAATCGATCAGTTTCCTTCACTGCCATGTCAATCAGTAATTGAACTTCATTTTGTGGATTTGAATGTGGTGTCAGGATGCAGATATGCATATGCTGGATTCATTAAATATTCAAATTACACATATATGGCACAATATTTGTATTTCTTGCCTTTTTTCCTTTACTTTGTGCTGTGACGTAGTTTGTTGTGTAACAGACTTCTTAAAACAGATCTCAATTTCAAAGCAAAAGGAACCCTTACCTTTTTTTAAAAGGAGAAAAGGAAGAAGGAAAACTGTCAGATATACATTTTCCATATTTTTGTCCAACTGGTACCGGTCCGTCTCCGGTGTATTTACAGGCATCTATGTAACCTATTGTGCTCTAGACATATTCTATCATATTCACGTGAGTACTAAGGTTTGCATCCAGCATCATGTAGTGTTTGTAAAATAAGTGCACGTGATGTGTCTCCCTGTAGTTATGCCTAATAAAATTGGAAATTTGTTGCTTGCGGAATATGCAATGATCATCATCTTCATTAACAAGTTCCAACGAGGATTAACTTTGAGTAACTTATGTGTGATTATTTTTATTGAAGAAATGTTTTTGATGGTGATTCATCTGCTAAAGCTGCTTTTTATAAACCTTGTGATAAAATTTGGTTCACCCAAAGTTATTGAATGTAAAAACATAAAAAAGAAAAATTTGTAAAGAGTTACTTTGCTCTTCATTCTATATTTTGACAATTTTTTGTTGCTTACCATGCTGTTGGAAAAATTTCCAGGCTTGCACATTATTTCTTTAGACTCCTGGCAGCAACTAAGATTTTAATCTTAGAATAGCATATTTGATTTCATAATGTGAATAATAGGGTTCTCATTTGTCTTTATGTTCCTTTTTTCCCTCTTTCTGCAGAAAGAATTGATAAGGACAGTGGATCTAGGTCCTTTCAAGCACACAGTAGATGATGGGCTTGAATTAAGGAAGGCTGCTTTTGAATGCGTAGATACTTTGTTGGATAGTTGTCTTGATCAAGTGAATCCTTCATCTTTTATTGTTCCATACCTTTTATCTGGTTTAAATGGTGAGTTTTGTTCTCTAGGAGTGCCCTTCTTTATTGAACCTGATTGGTGCTGTTGTTACATTTCTTATGATAATAATAAAAAATAACATTGAACTGTGTTGAATTCCCATCAAAACTTGCAATGTAATATTGCAAGCGTACTTAATATTTTTTTCTCTCCTCAGATCATTATGACGTGAAAATGCCTTGCCACCTTATCCTTTCGAAGTTGGCTGATAAATGTCCTGCTGCTGTATTAGCCGGTAATGTTTGATTTAGTTTTACAATGTACTTAAACCTTGTATTCGAAAACAAGTTATTTTAAATAAAATTTGAATCCGTTCTTATTTAATATTGCACATCCAGTTTTGGATTCTTTGGTGGAACCTCTCCAGAAAACTATTGGCTTTAGGACTAAACAAGATGCTGTCAAGCAAGAAGTAGATCGTAATGAAGACATGATCAAGAGTGCCCTCAGGACAATTTCCTCCTTGAATCGCATAAGGTATGCTAAGGTTTTGTATGACTTCTCTAGTTTCCTTTCTGTATAATGACCCATAGTGGTATACTGTATCTTGATGTAAGACAGCTATAGATCAAATTCTCAGTTTTCGGGGTTCAAATGGTTCTTTTAATTACTGTTTGCTGGTAAAAACCGAGATCTTTAGTGCCTTTGGCTTAAGCTTTTTCCCTTCTTAACTTCCCATCTATCTTTTCTCGTTTAGCGTGCCTCAATTTTCTACCATCTTCTGATGGCCCGTTATTTTGTATGGAGGGATAGGAAAATAACCACCTGTTTTGAAGTGTATTTCATTCTGAGCTCTCCAGAACACACCAGCTTTTGTCTCATTTTTGGTTTACTTAAAATGCAGTATTGTTTTTCTTTTTTTCCCCTAGAATCACTTGGTGAATTATATTAAGATTTTCTAGGTGCAGCACTTGATAATTCATTTCTTTCTCCATCTTTTACATTTGCAGTGGAGGAGATTGCAGCCACAAATTTAAGAACCTCATGGTTGAAATTTCTAAGTCCCAAGCACTGTGGGAGAAGTACTCTTCCATTCGGAACGAATGAAGCCGTTTCAGCCCACATCTCCTGTTGTTGCCGACGAACCTCAGAAAGGACATTTTTTGTTCTCCATATTTTTATGGGACGAGATTCTTTGATACAGATGAAAGGGGAGTGATCACTTAGATGCCAGCTTTTGAGCATGTAAAAAAGGGATTAGAAAGTAAACTGGATCGTTCCCTCAAAATTCATTTCCTGCATCTTATGGCTATGACTTTTCATCAAAAAATATTCTTCCCATGGTCAAAATTGCTTTTTGGTGCAAGAATGTTGATTTTATTATTATTATTATTATTATTATTATTATTATTGTGTGGTACTCATTTAGCGCTATCCTTTAGTTTTACGTCTTTTGTTACACTTTAAGAGGACGTTTGACGCGCTGAATTGTATTAAGACGGATATGTAGAAGAATTTTTACCGTTGCAAAATGGATCAATCGCAATTTTTGATCACCTTGTTTGATAGTGGGACCTAGTTTTTTTTAAAAAAAATGGTCAAATTATTCATTTTGAGCTTAAAATAATGTGAAACAAACATGATTAGAGATAGGATTAGGAGAGTGCTTATGCTTAAATACAAGCACCAAGTGTGTGGAAGAACCTGCATTCAAAATAAATCATAATAAGTCAAACATTTGGTGCATATTTTTATAGCATAAACCCTCCCAAACATGCTCGAAGGACTAAAAGGTTGGGGTGGTTTGAGCAATATGAATATGAATATTTATGTGTAAGAATATGGACTCTATTGTTGGTAATTAATATGGAGGAGGGGGGTGGGGTGGGTGGGTTAGGTTTATTAGAAGAATATTTTAGCAATTAATGAGTATTTACGAGTTTTATTTCTCTGGTGAATTTGGCAGAGTCGTATTTCTTCAAAATTTAAAATTTAAAATTTATTTACTTGACATTAGTCGGTTCAAAACTTACATTCTTTTAAGTATTGGGTTTAAATTCAACGCTTTAAAATTTTCATCTTTCATCTCTCTGCACTTAATCAGCAATTTTTTTCTTTTTGTTTCTGTCAACTCAAGGTCGGTCCACCGTACAAGTTGGCTCAAGCTTGCTTTGGCGCGAGTCGAGCATGAGCTGCCACATTTTAAAAACATTAGCTCGACATATGTTGAAGGTCAAACGTTTAAATTTTGGTTAATTAACAAATTTCTAGATGAAAATTGTTGGAGATCCTTTCGGTCCACATTTATTAAGGTGTCGTTCTCTTTGTGTTTCAGTTTTGTGTTTTGAGTTTTGAATTCATTTTGTGTTTTGTGTTTTGAGTGTCTGTTTTGAAGTTTCTGAAAACGCGTTTTTTTTGTTATTCTGAGAAACTGTTTCTGAAAACATGAAAATGGAAAACGCGTTTACTTTGAAATTTTGAGAATTTTTTTAAATAATATTTTATTCAAAAAATCTGATTATTCAATAAATTTTAATGGTTTAATGTTAATATAGTATTAAATAACATATAAATTTTGAAATTGGTGAAACTTCAAATGTTTTTTTTT